TACATATATATAATTAAAATATTATTCCTATTATAAATCTTTTTTATATTTTTCAAAAAAATGTTGACATCCTAAATATACATGTTACACATTTAGTAACCCGTTTTACTTATCTATTCGTAGATATATCTTTTAAGATCGATTTGAATTTTGATACGGAGTAGAAAAGTCGAAAGGTTTAACTGTGTTATAATGTACAATAGTTTTAAGAATCGGTCTTTTTCTCTTCCACTTTTTACATAAAGTTTTTCCAAATACCGAGACGTTCTTTTTTGTATATGGAAACTTAATAGATTTCAAAGCACATAAATTTAAAGTGACAGGTAACACATTTGGTATTATCCTATCATCATCTTCAAGAGATATGTCTAAATTATGAGTATCATACAATTTTATCGAAGTAGTCAAATCGACACCGCAAAAAGCGTTATCAGTTAGAAATTCTGCTTCCTTTAAAGCAGCACTCAAATCTACCCAATCGTCAGATAATGGAGTGCAATTTTCATTTACAGTATTTATTGGCTTTACAAATTGTTTTTCTATCACGGTATTTCCGTTTGAAAAGATGTCCATATTTGAAAAATCATTCTGAAGTGAATCGATTTCATCTTTGTCCAAAATATTTGTAGATACTAGTTGTCTTTTATTATTCTCATTGTTGTGAAATTTTGGTAAATGTACGTTTCTCGTTTCTTCACTATCATTTTTCTTAATTGATAGTTTTGGAATGATAAATTGTGAGACTGGTGATTGATACCTATCTTGAGATTCTACATTATTAGTTGTATTAGATTTTTGTAAATAGTCTGCAGTTAAAGCAGCTAAAGAACTGAAAGGTTGTGCATTTGTGTTATTTTGTGAAGATATTTTTGTTATATTTGAATTTATAGATTCTGTGTGATGGGAAACAATTCCAGCTAATGATGAGAAAGTTTTGAAGGAATTATTTACATCTTTTGAACTATCTATATTATTCGGTTGACATACAGTCCAAGTAGAATCTTTAGAAATATGTTCTTTTTTAAAAGAAAATCTAGGTATTGTGAGCGTGTATGTATTAGATTCATCAATTGAAACACCTTACCTTACCGATGAAGTCCAATACAAAGAACATGAAAAAAAAGAAAAAAAGCAAGGTTAGTTCTAAATTTAACACTAAGCTTCAATGTAATATATTAGAGACATATAAGATCTTATGTGCAATATATACCTGGATGTCGCTCCAATTGTTTCTTATTCTCTATAGATTCTGTAAATGTATTTCAAGATTTTTTTTATATCAATATTATTATATTCTAATATTTCAGTTTTATTATCCATTATGACAGAATAAGCATACCAGTGACTTTTTTTGGTGAAGACTCCTTTAAAATAGCATCAAGTGCTATATTTGCATCAAAATTTGACAAAATAATTTTCTCTTTCAATTTGGAATCAGATACTGTGTCACCTATAACATTTCTAATTGTTTCCAAACAAGATATTAATTTTGCCTTTTCTAATTCAGAAAGATTAAATTTTTCTTCATTGGACGATGGTGAAGACTCATCAATATCTTCATTGTCTTCCACTATATCAGGTTCTGTGATGAATGAAGCAATATTTTGTTGTTTGCTTCGATCAAATAAAAATTGCTCCACTGTGTATATAACATATATGTACAATTAATAAATAATTATACTTCGCTGGAAATTATAGAAAAATCTGTAAGACATATACCAGTAGGCGATACGCAATAATCGTCCTCCATTGAATGTCCATAAACATCATCATAGCCATCGTACTCTACATAAAAAAAAATTAATGTATTCTTATTTTTACAACACATCAATAAACAGGAATATTTAATTAAAGGTAAAAGCATGATTAAAGGTTACATTGCTATACTTCATAAGTATTTTGATAAACAATATGATAGTAACAAAATAAGGAGGATTGTTAATACATAATCGAAATGTGATATTTTGAAAGATTAAGGTTTAAATTTCTTCGTAAAGACAAAAAAAATCTTGGCAAGATAAAGCGATTCACAACGCATGTGTAGTTACTTACCATCAGAGTAATTCATAGAACGAACGTCTCGATGTCGCGACATGTTTCACATGTGACATAAAATTTAACAACGATAAAAGATCACTTGCGTACTCCCATGTATACTTTTAAGTAAGTACAACTGAATTACAAACCGCGGATGATCACGACTGCGATCGCGACATTTGAACTGCAGATGTTACTTACAACATGCTATTAATCCTTCCAACCCATTACACAAAATTGCATGGAACCACAAACCAAAAAAGATTAGATAGAGCGGACCCGAGACCAGCGGACTGCGGAAGGTCGTGTATATACCGATGAGATACTAGATCATCAATCCTAAATAATTTTTTGTGACTCCGAGAACCTGAGATAATTGAAAAACATCAACATCAACTATTTTGATTGTTCCAAAGCTTTTACCAGATTTTTTCCAGGATTTTACTAGATTTTACTTTTTTTAATCACTCTTTTATTATCAGAAAAATGTACAAATTTAAAATTTTCTACATTTTTTTATAATAAAATGATTGAGGAAGATAAAATCCAGTAAAATTAATTTATTCTTGAAAAACAATTAATAATCCATATCAGACTAGAGATTGAGATTGGGATTACATTGGAATTTGATCAATTAAAGCAAATTAGTTCACTAAAGTTGATATTGATTTTCTTTTTTCTGATTAGTTAAATTCCAATCCAATCTCAATTTCAATCTCTAGTCTGATACGGATTTTAGCGTTTTTCAATTAACTTTGGGACTTAAGGGATATTGTAGATCCTAAGCTCGGATCTATAATAGGTTTTTAAGTTTTAAGAAAACCATAAGAAACGGACGAATCATAGTCAATTATTTTCCTCTCATTTGACTGTAAGTCGGGATCTACAATAAATATTTTAAGTCGTAAGGCCTAGTCTACAATCAGTCGGGAGACGTTGTTGTATGTCGTGCCGTAAGAAATTAACCAATCATGATCAATTATTTCTTTCCATGCGACAGCCGACAACCGAATACGCAAGCGTTCGGTATCCGACGCCGACATACGACGTATTGTAGAACAGGTCTAAGAAATTGACCAATTATAATCGAATTCGAGGAGAATAATGATTCATCCATTTGCTATGACTTAGTGTGGCTTAAGATGAAATCACAAGATGCGGAAAAGGATTGCGGAATAGAGAATGCGTCATTGAAACAACCAATTAGCGCTATTCAGAATAACGCAGATTGGTTGCTTCTATGATGCATGCTCTATTCCTCAGTCGGTTTCCGCACCGTGTGATTTTATCTTAAGCCACTGTTTCCCGTATGAGGATCCGGGCTTAATGAGCAGTTGTCGTTCTGAATGCACCCAATTGTAATGAGTATACATGAGGGCGCTGTCTTCGAGCAACAATCGTTTTCCTTTCTTTCCTTCTTTTAATCCTTTCGTCAGTGGTCGTCTTTATGAGACGAACGTGTGTTCACGAAACGTCGTGAGGGCGGTGAGGGCGCAGTCGCGATTGGTGCATCTTCGGTCGTGCTTCTTCATCGGTCCGCTTGGACGCCTCGGGCTGCGGGCAGATGCCCTACCACGATCGCGACGTGCGTTCTCATTGGTCATTACTCGCGCTCCTACAGTCGAATCGACATTTACTACAAGATTCGATCTTTCTTCCCGTCTCGCTATTGCAGCTACACTATAAACGAAGTGTCTACGCGCGGTACGTTTATCGAATTTCGCCACGACTGATCATCGGCCGTCCTTCCTCTTCCACTCCCACAGGATAAACTCCTTGATGCCGTCATCTTCGTCGTGATTCCTGCCTATCTGCCAGATCTACGATCTGCCTGGCACCCTGGCAGCAGCGGCGCAGCGCCGTCAACACAACAGCGAGAAAGCGAGTGGCGACAGACAAACGCGAGCGCAGCGCCGCCGCCATCAGCGCGACCGCCATCGCAACGAGGTGCGCTATTCTGTTCATCGCGACTAGCCACGAAGAAATGCCCGTAGGTTCAAGATTAATCGGTCCGAGTTTCTGTGCGACGAGCATGGAAGTATTGTTGCCGTCGAGCCAGTAACGCGAGCGAGCGAGCCAATCAGAGTCCAGCACGCGCCGCCCGTTGTTGTTGCGAGATTGAGCATCGAGCATCGTATCACTTCACGCTCAGGTCGGGTCAGCTGCTGCTGTACCGCGCTGCCTACCTTACGCTGGATTGTTGGTGTGTGTATATATTAGTCACCTCGTCGCCGCCGCCGTGATTACAATCGCGACCGTGATACTTCCATCGGGGTGCGCCGCACGGGCTTGTGTACGATGGAGCTACGTGTTGGTAATAAGTACCGGCTAGGACGGAAAATCGGGAGCGGCTCCTTTGGCGACATTTACCTAGGTAAGTTGAAAGTTCCTCCCACCCCTCTCTGCCGCTCGTCAACCGCATGTCCGCGCGAGTCATTCGTCCTCGTCGTCGAGCCACTCGATGCTGATACTGTCTCCCTCTCCCCCTCTTCATCCCTCCCATCCTCCTCTGTGTATGATGATATACAATAGATTTTGTATATTTTGCGCAAGAGAGCGTTAAATCGCTAATTCGTAACGTTTTATTCCCACTTTCCTTTCTTTCTCTTTTTATTCCGTTATTTCTATCTTTCGTTTCTCCACATACCTTCTTTGTCTTTATATATCCTATCCATGTAAATGTGCACGCATAAATGAGCTTTTTAGAACTTTTTCTTTATTCAAAGGTACCAATATTTCTACGGGTGAGGAAGTCGCTATCAAGTTAGAATGCATAAAAACACGACATCCGCAGTTGCACATAGAGTCCAAGTTTTACAAGATGATGCAAGGAGGCGGTAAGTCAATATTTCTGTATTATCAATTGAATGTTTATTCTATACGAGGAATTGTATCCACGTTCTCATTTATTTGACAGCTGATCCAATATCTTTTCTTTTCACTCAACATGACACACAACTGTGTATCTCTGATATCTCTTGCTTGTGTGTCTTTTCCTGACATTAGCAGTTAAAAAAGACAAATTTAGCATGATATAGAGATTTTAATTAAGTAAACAAATATTTAATTGTTCTAAGAAATGTTTGTCAATTGGTTTATTAGAAATTGGTAATAACTTTTTAAAAAAAAAGATTATATAAAGAAATATATATTGTAATTTGAAATGTATAATTATTAAGACTTAATAATTTTAATTACGAAATTGATTTGTTTTAATTATGAAATTGATTGTGTTAGTTAAATAACATTTATACTGTGATTATTTTACTAGTAATACAGTTGCATAATCTTTTTGGAGAAAGTGAAAGGAAGGAAGTGTAATATTCTCTGATACAATTAGATTAAACTATAATTATAATACAATCTTTTTAGATTTTACTTTTTTTGGACTATTAGAACATTGTATTATTATTATATTGTAGTATAATCTTTTTTCTCAATATTTTAGTTGGAATACCAACTATAAAGTGGTGTGGTTCGGAAGGTGACTATAATGTTATGGTGATGGAGTTACTTGGACCATCACTGGAAGATTTATTTAATTTTTGTTCAAGACGTTTTTCTTTGAAAACAGTTCTACTCCTTGCCGATCAATTGGTAAATATTCTTTTTATTATAAAAATTTATTTTATTTATTATAGATATTGTATATGAATAACTAATCAAAAATTATTTCTTGCGTCAAAATAAAATATATTGTTAAAGAAATATACTGTTTTTAAATTTTTTATAATTTTTTATGTCATACTGACATGATTAATTTAATAGATATTTTGATTAATAACAAAAATTGCATTTAATTTTTTTTAGAATCTCAGAATCTCTTATATAATTATTTTATTAATCTGGAGACACTGGTAGTGTCTCAGCGCTAAGGTACGCGCAGCAACACTACTTTACATGAGATATACATTACAGGATTCTATTAGGGTTGTATATTTATGGCTGCACTCTAAATAAAAATCTAAATGTGGATCTTTTTCAATGTGTATATGCAGGAGTGTTTGCCAAATGCTTTACCATACGTTCAGATTTTATATTGTGATTATATATTAATTATACTTCATTTTACGGAAAAATGTTATTGTACATATTCTTGCCAAGAAATATTTATATTCTCAATAAATATTTTTTTGTTGCTGAGAGAGACATTGCTTTAACTATGTTGTGCAATTATAGAAGTTGTACATATCGACATTTATAATAATTAATATTTTTAAATGTGTTTATAAATAAATATACATACATGTACGTAGGTCAGTTAAAAAGAAATCGGGACTAAGCCTATATAATTTAAATAAATTAATTTGAATATTTACCTAATTTAAATTTGTACTATACAATTTACTATATAAATTTCAAAGTAGTTCTCATTCTACATTTGTATAATGACTTTACCGTTTCCGCCATATCTCAAAATGTTCTCTGAAAATCTTTATCTGAAATTGATTTAAGTTGCGATTTAGCTTAGAAGTCCTTGGCCATATCGATTTTTTACGATGATCTTCACATAATCATTTTAAAATGTTGCAATAAAAAAAACTACATTTATACCATCTGATCAGCAAAAAGAAATTTCTGATGCACAATCTCCTCGATATTAAAAAAGACAACCCAACATGGTCTTCATCGTACTCTTGACTTTTCTTACTTTCTTTGATCTTGCTAGATTTAGCTCTTTATGATTAATTTTTGTTTTTCAAAAAATAAAATTGAAATTCAAGAGACGATTTTGATACGGCCAAGCTAATTCGCGAAGTGTTTAGCGTGATTTAAGACAAAGTTTTTCAAAGAATGTTTGAAGCATAGCGAAAACCGTATTGTTATACAAATATAAAATTTAAATTTTTACAAGTTTAACCCGGTTTCTTTTTATTTGGACGTATGTATTATGCAATAAATTATATATTAGGTGTAGTAAAAAGAAATCCATTATTTTTCCAATAGCTGGCTTTAGTAATCTGTATCACGCGTAGATGAGATACAGATTACTAAAGCCATCTATGGAAAAATAATGGATTTCTTTTTATTACCACCTAATATATAATAAATTATAGTGTTATATATATTTATTATATGATTTGTATACGTATATTTATAAACACATTTTTAAATGTCATTGAAAATATAGATTAAAAATTAACAATAAGGAATACAGGCATTAGTTAGTTTTATTTATAAAATGTCACATTTAAAAAAAAATTATATTTTACAAAAAATAATGTTACTGATTTAATATGTATTGTATAGTACATATAATAATAAATCAAATATTGAATAAAGAGTTTATTTATATTTATG